TATATATAAATATATATATATATATATACATATATAAAATAATTAACGTGTAATTAAGCATGTTGTTAACGCAATTTGCTTTATCTAAAGCTATGGTAAACACAAAATTACCGTGCAATGCATGAACAATTTTTTTGACCTCGAAAGTTTACCATTACTAAAGGTAGACAAACTAAAATGCACTGACCTCCGCAGAGTCGGGTTATAATGGCAATAAATCTACACATCACCCTTGCTATTACCATTGTTTTTCATATCTACTTTATACTTTTTAATGTATTATTTTGTTAATGTTTTGTTCCTACAACATCACTTCTCATTATGGCAATATGGAAAACACCATGTTTAATTTACAAAGAGACATAGTAAGTCTTGTTATTAGCTTTTTTTTCAGACTATTTTTTATCTATTTTGTCTCTATGTTTGTGCCTAGTAACATACCTCATACATAGTTCAACGTATTTTGATATAATGATTATTTTAAAGTTAGATTTGCACAATTATTGCAATAATGAATTGATATTTATTTACTCATATTTTATGGCCAGTTCCAATATATTCTTTAGAGTTGTATATTCGAATTTAATAATAATAATAATAATAATAATAATAATAATAACAACAACAATAATAATAATAATAATAATAATAATAATATTAATAATAATAATAATAATAATAATAATAATAATAATAATAATAATAATAATAATAATAATAATAATAATAATAATAATAATAACAATGTGTTTCTAATTTCATAGCCTATTTTTTAATGCCGTTTAATGTTTGGAAGTTGAAGTTGGAGCGAAATTTCTGGTGATAGTAGATTTTTATATAACATTTACTCCTCATCGGCCTCCCTTTTTCTTTGTCTTTCTTATTATATTATGTTTGTTGTTTGTTTGCTGGAATGAATAAAATATAATTAATTAAAAAAATATTATATATTAGCTTACAACAATTTTTAGGCATTTTGCGTTCCAAAATAGTTAAAAGATTTCACATAAATAAATGTTAGCAAGATGATTGTCGCGTCAGAAGAAACAAGGAAAACAATCCAGAGTGGGGTAGGTTCTGTAGTGTACGCCTATTGATAGAAATCTATACTTTGCCCACACAGCGACCAGAGTTCAAATGTCAGTAGCACCACATTTGTTAATGTGATTGTTGTATTTATTATGATAGGTGCATAAACCCAAAGATTCTAAACAGTTCAATATTCAATTCAAGCATAAGGTCTCAGTGTCCCTACAAGGAAAAACCATAATATGGTAATACAGTATTATGATTTTTTTGTTTTATGAAAAGCCAGGCCTGTCCGACAGCGCGGAGTGTGGTGTGGCACGGGTGTTTAAATGCCCTTCCTGCCATCCCGCTGGTGCCCACTACATGTCGGACATATCTGGAGCCACCACAGTTTAAGAGACTAGATTTCAGTAATATGTAAAATTAAATTTACATCGGCCTATTTACTATCTCCAGTAACTCTAAAGATCTGAAAAATCGTATTCACTTTGATTTAAAAAAAAAAAAAGAATTATATTATTTGACATGGATTCACACAGATTACACTGTTATTCGATTGTAAATTAAGCATTTCCTGTCACGAGTAGGCTCCTCCTGTACATAGCAGTGGTGGTGGTTGTGGAGGTTGATAACCTCTCCCCGGGAAGCGTAGTACATTTCTTCAGAGGGGAAAACAATGTCCTTAACACTTCATAACTCCGTGTTCACATCTTTCACTTGAAATCATATCACAGTAAGTGAATGATATACGCTTCAATTATATTAAATACAGTCATCAACATTAGTACCGACCGACTTTAGGTGCCTATATAATTTTGTGTACAATGTACGATAACAATTATTCTCAAATTTGATAGTGATTAAATTATTATGTTGTTCTCAGTTTATTTGATTGTTTGTAAGAGAGGATTATTTACGCAATCTACTGAAAATAGGAAGTGCGGCTATAGAATAATTGCCATAATTACAGTTCAATCGAATATTTTAATTTGCAAAAACAAATTTTTTCTCTAAAGATAAACTTTTTAATAGTGAACAGAGAGCATATACCTAATCTGAAAAAATAGCTTAGAAATAAAGTTTAAACAGAAACAAGAAATTCAATTTTATAAAACACGCGAGACCTATTTAACAAGCATCTAATCAATTCAGTTTTTAAAATAACCAAAACACATCGATAAAGACAGCACTGCCATCTCACAAGTACACTGATAAGTAAATCATTAAATGGATTCATCCGGCTGTTCAGTCCAGTGGACGTATGGAAATTTTATCATCCATGACTTAGCTTAGGCCTGGACAATACATTATGCCACCAGTGGTCAGCCCCATGTATTGCTGAAATTGTCTTTGTTTCTTTGACAGTACAGAAAGTTGTGATATGCTTCCTTGTTTTGGTGTTGTTACAATATCTATGTCAAAATATATCATTTTCTTCTCATCATTTACCCCTATAGAAATAATTGTAACCTAACAACTACAGCAACAAAAACAAAATTTTTGTTCCTTCAAATTTGCAGTTGATGAATGCTGGTGTAATGACGAATGCATACAAAATTGTCAGCGAACATTTCCCGTTTAATTTCCAAACGCATTTTAAAACGGCGTCTGATCAGTCATGACCGGATATAATTATCTTAACTTTAACACTCTAAATTAATCCCAAATTTAATGATGCTCCCTTAATTAATTGATCAGGATATCAGCTAATATTTGTTCTCACGTCAAATTTAATTCTCTCTTTCAGCCTAAAAAAACGAGACTTGTGATGTGCATGTAGAGCCTCTTGTGTATATGTGTTTATGTATGTATGTATGAAGGGAATACCGCCTAAAAAGTGATTTAGTCCGCTGTTTGGTATATTGGATCTTGTGCTTAAAGTTGTATGAATAAAAAATAAAGAAACAATATCCTTCGCAGGCATTGGTGACGCCATGATTTCCTTGACGGGAAAGGGAAAAACTAATTTTCACCCATGGGGCTCTACTCTCGAGTCCCCCATTCTCAGCACTATGTGTTACAGATTGAAGTCATACGATTAAGTAGACAATTCTTACCTATTCAAAAAGAGATATACGCAATAAAAACTGTTTATTTTCAGAGAAATTGGTAGATAGGCTTACAATCGTTGTACACTAACCTGTTGCAACTAAATTAAAAAGAGGGAAGGTAGGAGAGAATATACTTTTTTCACCAATAATCCTGCTTTATATTTATTTCCGTGATGTGGTGGTTTTGACAACACATTGTTGATATACAGACAAAGACTACCTACATGCACTATTGAAATATTTCAATAAAGACTGATAAGACTGATTTCAATTCTACGACCCGCCCACATACAAAGCTGTACATGCCGACGAACATGTAGGGCCTACATCGGGGTTGACATAAAGGCAATGACTACCTATTATTGACACAAAGACAATGACTACCAACACGAACTATTGAGCTCAAGTCATGATATATCAGGAGACTTCGATGAATTTTGACTGACGTCAAATAAAGGTAAAGTATGATTGAGCGAATTATTTACCCACCTCGGCCTAATCATTAATTGATAGCATATAATTGTTAACTTATTATTACGCAAACCAAGTTATTCAAATATTGAATATCTGTGATGTGTTAGTTCTGGAAAACATTAAACAAAAATGTCCTCTTGTCGGAAGGCAATTGAAGTGCATAGACGGCAGGACGGTTGAACGTTGGTTAGGCCCACTATGGGACAGTTAGTAACTCAGGCTGGGGACCATATACCACAAATGATAGGACAAACATTAGCAAGGACCAACATTAGCAT